TATATACCGCTGTAGTCCTTTGTTTGAACACCTCTGATTTAGGCACACAGACTTTAACCTGGGTTATTTTTACTGCCTTCTCCTTTTCTCAGTTTTTAAGTTGTCATGAAAATGTTGTTTTCCATGGCTACTGGAAGTTCATTACACTGGAAATGTCAGTGTCTGTCGGGGGGGGGGGGGGAATACTGAAGAAGGCATTGACAGAGACTGTATATCCTGGGTGCTTTAGGGGCTAGAGCTTCTTGATGGAAAGCATAGCTGATTCCTGAATAGTGGATTGATCTTATAGGCATCTGGAAACATCTGCATAAGGGAATATGTGGCTCAACAGCCAGAACTGGCAAGAATGTATGCTTAGGTTTCCCATTATAAATTGAACAGCAATATCTAGTAAAATATAACAGATAGCGGAACTGGATCAACAGTTTGAATTTAGCAAATCATAAAATTTCCAGAAACAGAAAGAAAAAGTATGAATAGATAGTAATCATACTCAGTTCTGTAAGCATATCTCTGGTACCCTGACATGCTGATGAAAACGTTGTCATGTTAAACATTCTTCCACACTTTCAGGCCAGCAAACAACAAAAAGCTTCCCTTGAGTGGATTTAACTTAACTAACAGATTTTCCTGAAAACCTTCTGTTCCTCCACCTCCACCCCCTATTTTGTTAATACCATTGTCCGATTGTTAAGCATTCAATATTCCTTTCTTGCTGATGTTCCCAGCTGTCTAGTTTTTATTCACTAAGGTTGCATAGAGGAAGGTTTTGATGGGATATATGAGAAAAGAAAATAATTTACTTAGAAAACATTCCTTCTCAATATTAAATTTACACAACTTTTATCAGCCAAGCCTTTGTGGTTAATATTTCAAAACAGAGTCATAAAACCATTTATAATAAGCAAATTTCAAGAAAGTACATGGCAAAATAAGAAATAAAGAAAAAATAGGTGAACCATGGCTTGATCCTAAGAGATTCTTCTCTTTATGACTGTGACCTTCTCAGGAATGGCCTCCTCATTGCTCCCAATGACTGTAAAATTGAACAGTGTGAAACAAGGAATAAGAACCAGAAAGAAGGAACTGGATAGAGCTTCACAAAGCATCCTGGATTACTTGAAGCCCCATTTTTCCTCAGCTGTCTCTGTAACCTGCGGATCAGATTTATTTTATACCTTATCCTGTGTGACTGATTGAGAAGATGTGGCTCCATTACATCCTCTGCTGAGAGAGCCAGGTTTTTTGTTTAAACTGCCAAAACTTTTTCAACCCTGAAGACCCCCAGTTGAATTTCATGGATTTCAGCCAAATTGATGAGCAACACATCTCTGCAATGTG